TGTGGCTGAACCCCAGCTGTACGTTTTGCTGGCTACTTTTGGCTAGTATTAAAGGCCTGGCAAATTTTGGCCAGTCTTAAGGCCTCGAGTAGGATAATACCATAGGGGTATTAGTTCCTAGAGCATGCTAACAATGGTAGGAGTGTGGCAGTTTTGTTGGCAGATTTCAGCCAGGGTGGTACCTGACATGGTTTCAGCCAGGGTGAGGAGCCTGGCTCTTTTTTGTTGCCTAGTTCAGGCCCAGCAGAGAATGGTTTGGCTTTCTTTTGTTGTACGGTCCAGGAGTCTGGGCAAAATTGGCTTGGCTCCATATTGTTGTTTGGCCCAGGCCTCAGTGCAGGCTGGGCCTTACCCTTGTTTGAGTTCTCTTGCAGTTTTCTGTCCCAGCAGAGCTGGGGATTGAGACGAGGAATTCTGGGGGTGTGGTATGCTGACTAAAGCCACAAGTCACCCCTCACAGCCACCATATGGAAGTGGAGATCAGCTTTCCAGGGAGCAACAAGGGGCCCCTTGCAACATGGAAGGACCTATGCTCTCTAGCAACTCCCTGGGGCACAAGCCCAAGAAGCAGTTCATAGCACTCTCCTGTGTGGACCCCCATCACCAGGCCATTGCTGAAGGGCAGGTATAGGGCTGCAGACCCCTGGAACTACCCTTTGGGGGAGACCCCAAGTCCCAGATTGCCTGGGTATGGGTGAACCTTCCCCAAGATGATGCAACCTATAGACTATGCCTTATAGTTGATAATGTTTTAAGTTGCATTTGGTATTTTCCTTTGTTTTCCTTGCCTTTGTTTCCTGTAATAAATCTGTCCTTTGTATTTACACTGCTTGCGAGGAGGAGGGTTTGTGTATATGGGGCACCCCACCCAAATTCAGTGTTCCCAGATTTCTGGGTGAGGGCTTGACCCAAAGTAAAAATTCATTGGGTACCCCAAAATCTGAACTCAGCCCTTGTTGCTGCCAACCAGTGCCCAGCAGAAGGGCTACACACATATCACTGCTTGGGGTATAGACTTACATCAATTGACTAAATTCTTTCTTTGTAATGGGACAGACTGATTGGAAAAAAATAAGGGTTAATGTTCATGAACACTGCCAGATGGCTGTACAGGGAAATACTGCTGTTGTTGTTATAAAGAGTTCAGTGATCAACTTTTTCTGCATAGATAGGGGACAAAACAAAGAGTAATAGTCTTAACATACAAGACGGGAGAGTAAAGTTGGACATCTGGAAGAACTATGAAGGTGGTTCAGCACTGACATGGATTACCTAGAGGGGTTTTGGAGTCTCCAACCATTAAATGCTGATTAGACAGACATTTGTCTGGGATGGTTTAGACAAGGAAGATTCTATGATTCCTGCTTTGAGCACGGGTGTTGGCCTAGTTAACTTTTTTCGTCCCATCTTTTTCCTCAAGGGAAAAATAGCAGTGAAAGTGCAAGGCTGCTTCTACTGTTATATCTGTTCACTGGGACAGACTGCACTACAAGGATCAGAGAGCCCTTTGACCTAGCTGAGTATTAACTTTCTGGTTGGCCTGTCAACTAAGCTACCAATGTGGTTGTTTGTGTCCTGCATACCTACCCATTTGGAGTGGAATTGTGATTTCTGTACATTTCATACAAAAACTGCCAAACACCTTTGCTCCAGGCTATAATCAGGTTGAGTGACTATTATGTAATTACCTTTTCTCTCATTTATACAGTAAGAATTCTGAAGTCTGACATCAATGGACTAGGACAGAGGTTGACCACCTATGGCTCATGGGTTGAAACCAAAGGGACTGGATATGGCCCACAGCAGCACAGGAGCTTGACAACATGTAGCTCGCTTTGGCACATTCCCCTTCTCCATCCAGGACAGAGTTACCAAACCCCTCGATAGCACCTGCTCCCAAACACTCTTGAACCTCCTAAGAATCTGGCATTTATCCTCCTGGCTGAATTTGCCCCTCTTCACTGCCATTTGGGATGGGAATCTGTAGCACTCAGTCACAAAGAGGTCACTGCATTGGGGATGGGCAGCTTGTGGTGGTAGCTAGGTCACAGCAGCTGTCCCATAATTTGTAAAAGGTCACTTTCCCCTGGACTAGGAAATTAATATTTTGTCTTCACACATCTTCATTTGATGCATGGAAAATGATGTTTTGAAGACAGACATCCACAAAGAAGGTAAATGTGTATAATCTAACAAAGAAAAGTGTTACATTTCTATTAATTTTTTTTTATAAGTCAGATCTGTGTATTTCTCTTAGCTGTTAATACCTGCAATCACTATAAATCACATGTAATAAGAGGCCATGCAGTTACATTTTGTTCCTGTAGGGTGGGAAATGCACAATAGCAACTTGTTACATTTCAGAGACACATTTTGACCCTAAACACACTGCAAATATGTCCATTTCCATTATGAGAGACCCCAAAATATCTACGTTTATCTCTGGACCCTTAAGACATACAAGCCTCAACATTTTAAGATGTGCCTAATTTGCTTCCTATGACACGTTCTGAATTCAGCCACCCCTTCATTGTCTTCGGTTACATGTGAACAGCAAGGCTATTGCCTTCATTCTTCAGTCATGTTGACTCCTGGGATGACATGACTGGTTGGGGAAATTTCAGAAGACACCATCTTTAGCCACAGGTGCAGTACTTCTTAAGGAAACACCTCAGGGTTGTAACTCCACAGTTCTCTCCTCTTGGAGGACAGAAAGCGACTCTTTCCGTAGCTCATAATGCCTCACCTGAGTTGACTGGGATACTCGCAGCAGAACAAAGTGCCTACTGACTCGTGAGGGACTGAACATGCTATCTCCAGAGAGATGTCTACATGTCACATGGCAGTGCTGTGCAGAGATACCTGAGGTGTCTCATAACAGAAGCAGTATAGTCATGGTAACATAGTGCTCTGCCTGAGCTAATTAGAGCTCTCGGGTATCTCTACACAGCTATCTTTTGGAGACAACCTGGGACTGCATTGTGCCATGCACACATTCCCAACCCTGATGGCTGAGATGAGATTCTTTGCACAAAATAATAATGCCTCAAATGATAAAGGGAAAATGGTGGTGGTTTGAGCAGGAAAGTGGTCCCAATTTGCTTTTTTAAATTAGCAATTCAGGTGTTATCTATTCTGCTTTTCCTAGAAGGCTCATTGGACACCTGTGAAATGACTATGTTTATTATTATCAAAACATCAAGGAAATGAAGCGTGCATAAACTATGAAAGCAAGTGAGTTTTTGTCATGACTGTTTAAAATACTGTGGGCTGATCTGCACATAGTTTTTGCACTGATTTAGCTAAATTGGTTTTGGGCTGCACCCATTTAATTAAATCTGCGCAAAAAACCATGTAATTCCATCCTAATTAACTCAGACTTCTGATCAACAGTTACATAAAAGAATCCTTTTTTTTCAAAGAGATTCAGACCCTTATTCATGTAAGTGTCTGAGAAAGTTCCCACTGAAGACTTCCAGTAAAGGGAAGACCAGAAACTATACTTTACATTTCCAGGTTAAAATAAGCTGATCAGAAAAAGTCAAAACTGAACCAAAACAATGTTAGGCCTTCTTTCTGTATCAGAAACTAACAATAAAGACTGCAGGCAAAATTCTTTTGCCATTGTAAGTCACCTTTAAGAGAGAGAAGGCAGTACCACATGAGTCCTTGGAGGCATTTCCAACACTTCATTTTAGTCATCTGGAACAATTTATCAATACACTCTCCCTCTCTCTCTCAAAAAAAAGTTTTCACAGAACTTAACTCAGTATTACTCACTCTGAAAGTCAGTAAGGAGTGGTCTGACTGATGCTTCAGTTGCTATATCCTCCTGCCATACACTATGGAGCCAGACACTATGGGGCCAGATACACGGAAATCATCAGGCCTCTGAGCAATCTTGGCCACTATCCCTCCTTTCAGAAGGTCTTCATGTGAGCATATTCATACTAAAAGTGGAACCTGTGGGAATGAAGAAGGCAATAAATTAGCTATGGGAACATTAGCCTCTGAATACACCAGAAACAGATTTAAAATTAAATTGAAGGAAATCATTAGAAGTCAACAAATCATGGCTTCTGTTGCACATCTGTTTAAATGAGGAAAGGAATTAAGAATCCTTCTCTCTTGCAATCCTGGGCAGTGAGCTGCCAGAAATGCTACTCTTACTCTCTCTGAAAATACAAGTACTCTTGTAAACCTCTCTTCAGTGTGGAAGAGCTTCCAAAGATAAAGTTTTTGTACAGTTAACATATATTATTACATCTGCTAACTGATTAGTGTTAATGATACAGTGCTGTAGAGGAGAGCAATTAGACTTCCCTGGTGAGTGGCATTTTGATTCTTCTAGGGCCGGCCTTTCCAGCTTGTAGGTGGTTGGGAACAGAATGCCCCATGGGCCCAGGCTCACACTCAGCTCCTGGGCCATGCAATGCTCCACTGACCTGTTTCCTGAGGTGGGAGCAGGCAATAAAAGCCTGAGAGAGGGCAGGAGGAGAAGACGGGAGACTCCAGCTGTTGTTGCAGTCAGAGTAATAGGTGGTGTGGCTGGGCAGGAGCACAGGGGCCAGAGCTTAATCCATCACGGGTCACACATGGCCCAAGGACTGCCCATTGGACACCCCTGTTCTAGGATACAGGTTTCTCTTGCTTTATGCGGGTTCTGTATGTGCGAATTTGCTCTTATGCAATGACCCTTTTTATACCAAAAAATCATCATATGAGAGGTAAATTCACTCTTATGCAATCAGTTTGGTGGAAGCCTGCAGTCAGCTGCTTTGTGCAGTGCATTGTGGGAGTGACGCACACCAAAATATAGTCTCCTTCGTGGATCTGTCCTCCTTGCTTGTTGTCTGCGATGTGTTTCTGTAGTTGCCATCCCCATTATGATAGTGCCCTGTGCTTGTGTGTACTCTCTGCTGTTGGTGAGTACCAAAATTGTCTTGTAAAAGTGGTAGAAATGGGCCTGAGGGTTAGTATAGTCGAGGTCTTGGAATGCATGTCTGTTTGTTAGATCATAAAGTGGGTTCCCTTTATGCAAATTTGAGTTATGTGTCATTTTCCAGGAACGCGCTTGCAGCATAAAGCAAGGGTAACCTGTATAGGCTATGGAAGGGAAGGAGTATTAGATGCTGCAGAGCTACAAGGTAAATAAAATGATGTCTGGAGCCTTCTATGATGAAAAATATCTTCTTGTTCTGTATTTGTTCAACACCTAATACAACAAGGATCTGAGCCAGGACTGGATTATCTGGACACCACTACAGTTCAAATAGTTATTACTGTTATTGCTGCTACCACAACTAAATTTCATTCCCATGACACAATTTCTACTTAGATAAGATAGCATTTTTTAGAATAAGTGAAAAATTCTTCCCAGTAGCTCTCTTTCTTATTAGTTTTTACTGTCATCATTTTCATGCAGGACTTCATTAATTCCGTTTCTCCCAATTTTACAACTAAAAAACCCAACCAAAACAAAAAAACCTGTATTTTCTTCCCTAACTACAAAGGAGTTGTATGAATGTAGAATATGGCTTCTGTTCTCATCATTTTATTTGTATTTGTTTCTGCTTTGTCATAGCTCGGATCTGGAATTCTACGCAGTTTTCAGGTCCCGGGGGTCTCCTCTTCTGACCCTGTTTGTTGTCAAGGTGACTACATGCTTGTTTCAAATTAGAGATGTAGAACTAAAACTTTTACACTTATTTTTTTGTTTAATGAACCTGATCCAAATGCAGAGTACTACAGGAACTTCAGTCACTTGCAAGCAACAAGCATAAAGGTTTTGTGCTGACCACTGAAAACTTTTACACATACCTACTCTACCCTTGCTCTGGAAGGAAGTGGTCTTTGTTCATAACACACTTCTCTATTTACAGGAATAGGCACCTTCTTTAGCCTGAGCCATTATTTCCTCGGCTGCAGGACAGCAGAGCTGACAGAGGCTTTGGTAAGCTTCTTTAGCAGGCAACTTTAGCAGTATGCACAATCACTACAATGGATGTTACAAGATTATTTACCCTTACAATGTATCAGCTGAATATGGGACTTGCAATGATTCATCTTGACTACAGAAGCATATGATTATTATCTGTGAGACCCTTGCTTCCCCCACAAGCACACTGTACCTGCTTTTCCACAAAACTGTGATTACAATATGTATGTATATCTGATAAGCAAATTGTAATTGTATGACTTGCATTCATCACTTAACTAAAGTATGTTTCTGGCTGAAAGGTTTATTACTTAGCTTTCAAAAATGCATTCCAAATCATCCTTCTAAAAGGCAGGGACTATCTGCTATAGATGTGTTAGCATTAATCATTCATATGGGCCACTACCGAAAGGTTAAGTGTCTTTTTAAAGAGACAATTCATTAGCTTTCCTCACACTACAGAAATATGGCATTCTCAGTAGCATTTGCCCCCCTCTTGGCTATAGTAACACATCATGCAGACAGGCACAAAAATGTTCCTAACTGTCCAATGGGGTTATGATTAAATTATCGCTGGGTAAGGTTAACCACCTCATGTTCTCTGCCATCCGTGCAATGCTGACAATGCTGCCAACACGGCATCAAGAGTGTAAATTCCTCCCATAGCTATCCCCAAGAGGTCTGGGGTTCACTGCTTACAAGGTCCATCTGGCTGGCAGTAGTCATGCTTGCCAGAAGCCAGTAAAAGTAGCACCGCGTGTGCCACGGAATCCATTTTCATAGCAATCAGTATTGGCAGCAGCAGTTCATTTCGGTTGGCTTCAATAACCAGCATGTGAGCAATGGTGACCATCTGGGGAGTTGAGTAAATCCAGACCCAGCTGAGGCTGGTCACATGGAACAGGCTGGCATATGACTAGCGGGCTGAGTAACTAGCTGTAATGGGCACTGTTGCATTTGTGTAATAAAGCAGATTCTGAGGGTGGGGAAGTCTGTGTGTAAAGACAGTCATATGGTGCATTTAATAACAAATCACTACAATTCACTCATCCATAAACTCCCTCCCAGCTGTATTAAGGAAGGGTACTTGGTACTCAAAAACTTGTCTAGATCCTTCCCAACTATAAAGTTGGTCCAATAAAAGATATCACCCACAAAAATCCTTGCCTCTCACATTTTTCCTGGACCCTGAGGACTACAATAAATACAACACTACCATGATGAATCTTTCCATTTTTGATCAGGTCTGAGAAATAGTATACGCATCATTAGAAAAGGAATTGCATAATACCATCAAAAGGTTAAACTCACCACCAAAGCACATAAAGGCATTCCATGACAATATAGTATTGCTGATAATAATTATTCCTTCATCAATACGGCCACAGCTCTACACTCCATAAAACCGCTCACCTGATAAATTAAGAAGATATGGATCATATATAATGCATATATATCATAAAGCTAATATATATCATATATAATGCATAAAGAGAAATCTACCACTAACAAGGCAAAAATGACTCATAAAAGGAAATGTTTTAATTGAATGATATATACACGAACCGTGCCTTCTTCTGCACTACCACTACTTTGAAAGTGGGCATACATTATTTGTAACATCCACCTTCTTCTAACCGAGAGTCCCATTCTGACACCAGCACTGCACAGAGGGAACAGATGTTCAAGGCACTCAAGGCCTCCTTCCCACTTAAGGAGATATTAGTGGCAAAGTCTGGGTATATATGATTTTAATTGTTCATCTGCACACTTACCCCAATTCTAGAACTCAGGTGGCCACAACCAGCATGGGGGCAACCTCTTTTCTCAGGAAGCTCAGGATAACACCGGTGCCTACTTTCCAGATAGCAAGTCTGTCTCAAGAACTATCTTCACTAAGGGACCCAAGCAGAGAATAAGCTTTCCTGCTGTTCACATGCCTTCTCCTCCCCAAAACCTTCCATAACAAAGCAAACAAAAGCACAGCACTATCTTCCCTAGGCTGAATATTTGCTCATACACATATATTTTTGTAATCCCCTAATGACTATTGATTAGTACTCCTTTATTTTAGTCTACTGTTGTGTTTGTGTGGGGGGAGTAGTAGAGCACAGAATCAGCCATTGGAGTCTGTCAATAGCTCCTGCAAAGCCTATGAAAATCAACTGCTGGAACTCCTCAGTCACATGCCTCTCCATCACACACAAACCTCCACAACAACAGCACCCAACACTATACTTTCTAACCCAGGGGCAGGCAACTATTTTCGGCAGAGGGCCGCTTACTGAGTTGGCAAGCCATTGAGGTCCACATGATAGGCAGCCAGGGGCAGATAAATATTAATTTTCTAATTTTAGTAGGGGCCCTGCGGGCCAGATAGAGTGGCCTGGCAGGCTGCATCCGGCCCCTGGGCCACAATTTGCCCACCCCATTCTAACCCCAAAGTATTGCCTAGCTGATTAGTTGCCATTGAAGTATCATGCATTGGGTAGTCACAGTCCTGTCTTGCCAGTGATCAGAGATATCATCTTGGAATTTTGTGATATCACAAGCAATTCGCCTCAGAAAGTTTTTTTATAAAACAAAACAAAAGCAAAACAAGACAGAACCAAAAATAAATAAACAAATTTAAAAACTACATTTTTTTTCACCATCTCAGAATTACAAAGCTTTAGCAGCTTGTCCTGGGCCTTAAGAACATCTCTCTCACTAGTCTGTGCTGTAGGCCAGACTAAAAGTGCAGAGCATCTTCCTTTACCATGGTACTCCTGGGGCTGGGGTACATTATCAGCACAGAAATATAATCTGAGGTGCTGGTCCCACTCTCTAGCTCTCTGCAGACACTACTGGCAGGTCTTTCATCACTTCAGCACAGCTGCTTCAGATACCTCACAAATGCTTTTCAAAAGAAAACAGAAATCTTTCTTACCAAGAAAAGAGTTAGAACTCAGCATTTGGAGAAAAAGGAAATACTCTTGATTTCTTAAGACTAAGGGAGTTTTCCCAGGCACTCAGAAGGGAAGTCCACTTTCTTTTCCCATAGTACTGGGTATCCAAGGTCCCTTCAAAATCTCCCATTACTTTAGGAAGCTGTGGAGGGAGCCATGAGACAGATGCTCAGAGGGGAGGTGCTATATTTCAGTGCAATGCAAGTGTGGATGCAGGAAAACTGAAATGAAGGCCAGTGGTTAGTTTGGGCATGCTGTACTACTCATTCACTCCCACCAGATCAGTTCTGTTGTGTCAACAGACCCATAGGCCATGTCCCCACGAGTAGGAACATGCATTTTGAGGCACCGCAAAATGCACCCAGCACACATGAGGAGCCAAAATTTGATATCGGGAAAGCCTGTTATCTAAAAAAAAAAAAATGCAACAAAAAAGGTGGAGCAGTGCATGTGGCTGCAGTGTGTGCCATCAGAAACCAGAGCCTGGCCAGCCAGAGCCACATTTTGGCTGCTGGTCAGGCTCCATGCACCTGGATATCTGCTGCTGCAGCCCCAGGAAGCCCCCAGGATCCCAGGGCCTCCCCCTACCCCACCCGGGGCTTTTTGCCACATGTTACAGTGCACGTGAAGGGGTGTTCCCTGGGGATAAGTAGCAGTGGCACAGCTTTGTGTCACTGCTATTTGTCCCTAGGGAAATGCATGTGTGCATTTGTGAGGATATGACTATAATAGACAGCAAGTGTGTCATTCATGCTTAGGAGTAGAATCACCTGTTTCATATAAGCAACACTTCAATCCAGGTCTGAAAACGCAAACCGAAGTATACAATGTGAATGACCGTAAGTGGCTGTGCTGGCCCCTACATTCATGCATTTAGTCATCTGCCCAAATACTCTTAACTTTTGTCCTGTGATTTTTGTATCTAAACAACCCCAGAGCAATAAATACAGATACTGAAAAAAGGAGATTGTAGTAGATGAAAAAAATAACTTACAAATACTGTACTTGGAGACAAAAAATACATAAAAACTAATGTACAAAATATATAACAAGAAAAAATAAGCTAATTATTAGCATCAGCACCAGGAATTTGCAATTAAGGAAATGTTTAGATTTTACTAATTTGGTGTGTTTTATTACATGGATTTTCCTACATTCTCCTATTTTTTCAGCTTTTGTTTTTTCCTTTTAAGTTAAGTAACCTTAATATAACTTTTCCTTCTGTAGCAGGTTGTGTAACTTAGTATTTTGTTGTCACAGAGTTCAAGCAGAGACATTTGAATGATACCAAAAGAGATTTAAATTGCCCCTACTCATTTTAACAGGGTATTAACTTTCCCAAGTGAATGCACTTAAATGTTGACTCTGCTAAAGTGGTTCCCAATAATGAGATAAAATACTGTGTGTTAATATAGGAAAGTTAAGTATGAAAAACAGTATATTGCTAACTGCTAAATAACATAAAACTAAGTCTGAGCATGGAGCTAGGTAAGGGGGAAGAAAAGAGAAAGAGAACATACTGCCTGAGCAACATAACAGTATCTCTTTTCACTTAAAACTGATATATGGACACTTAACTTTCAATGCTTATAGTGCCAGAAAGTCCTATTGAAGCTGCTAAGGAGAGGAAAGGTTTTAACAATTCACTATTTGTACTGAAAAAAAAAAATTTTCTCTTGCAGGTATTAATAATTCTATTCAGTCCTTTTGGACTTTGCGTACAGTCTCATAAGGCAATGACTGCTCTAGCATCTTGCAGGATCAGACA